TATTAGAAATGTTAAGAGAAGTAAGACAAATATTTAAAATACTATCATAATGTACCACTGTATGTTGCTTTATCTTAATTCATATTTATATATTTATAATATTTATTAAGTTTATAGATTATGTACAGTCAAAGAATCTTAAAGTTTATGGACTAACTCAGAACACAATTATAAATGAATATATGTTGGTATTTGATGAATTTAAATTTGAAAGGAATTATGAATGTGGAGTATGTGCAAATTGCAATCGACATAACACATCGCCAGCTTGGTGTCAAACATGTGACCCTCAGAAAACAATACAAGGATGGACAAGTGGAAATAAGTATATTGATGATTGTATTAAAAAATTTCAATTTAAAGCTACATCTTATGAGGATGTGATCGAGTGGATTCCTTTTAATAAATTAGATAATATTCAAAAGATCGGTAATAGGTTTTTAGCAACCTGGTTAGACGGGATACGACTAACTCAAGATAGAAGTAGTGAGGAATGTACACAGTCACGTACACCACCATGTATAATTGCATTTAAAATATTAACTAGTTCACAAAATTTATTAAATATTTTAATAGAGGTAAGATTATATTATTTATTGTATAGTTTATTTGATCAATCATTTGTATACTTAACATCTAAATATTTTATAAGTTTAAAAATCATATGAAATTAAAGAGAAGAAGTGTTTATGGATTAACTCAAAACACAACCACAAATGAATATATGTTAGTATATGATGATTTTAGTTCTAAAAGAGATAGTGCAAATGGGAAATGTAAAAATTGCAACCGATATAACACTTCTAAAGCTTGGTGTCAAACATGTGACCCTCTGAGAATAATACAAGAATTGGCAAGTGGAAATAAGGACATTGATAATTGCATTAAAGAACTTCAACTTAAAGCTATAGAATATGAAAGTGTAATCGAATGGATCCCTTTTAATAGATTAGTTAATGTTCAAAAGATAGGTGATAAATTTTCAGCAATCTGGTTAGATGGAATACGATATGTAAAAGGAGATAAATATACACAATCCCGTATACCAACATATAAAGTGGAACTCAAAACATTAACTAGATCACAAAACATATTAGAAATGTTAAAAGAAGTAAGATAGATATTTAAATTAAATGTCCTGTACTACTATATATTGATTTATTTTAATTTATATTTATAATTTTTAATAAGTTTATAGATTATGTACAGTTAAGGAATAGTGAACTTAAGGTACATGGAATAACTCAAAGTGATGCAACAAATGAATATATGATGGTATATGATGAATATGGTTTTAAAAGAAGAGAAGATAATGGAAAATGTGCAAATTGTTGCCGATATAACACATCAAAAGATTGGTGTCAGGCATGTGACCCTCAGAAAATAGCACAAAGATGGACAAGTGAAAATAAAGATGTCGATGATTGTATTAGAGAATTTCAACTTAAAGCTACAGAATATGAGAAAGTAATAGAATGGATTCCTTTTAATAGATTAGATAATATTCGAACGATTGGGAATATATTTTTAGCAACCTGGCTAGATGGAATACGATATGTAAAGGATAGATGTAATTTTACACTGTCTCGTAAATCATCATTCACAGTAGAGCTTAAAGCATTAACTAGATCACAAAATTTATCAGATATGTTAAAAGAAGTAAGATAAAGATTTAAAATATTGTGCTGTACTACCATGTTGCTTTATTTTAATAATATTTATATATTCACATTTAATAAGTTTATAGAATATGTGCAGTTAAAGAATAATGAGCTTAAAGTATATGGATTAACTCAAAACACAGCTACAAATGATTATATGTTAGTATTTGATGGATTTGAAGCTAAAAGGAAAAATATATATAGAGTATGTGCAAATTGTTGCCGATATAATACATCAATGTATTGGTGTCAGACATGTGACCCTCCGAAAATAATACAAGGATGGACAAGCGGAAATAGGGATGTCGATGATTGCATTAAAGAATTTCAACTTAAAGCTACAGGATATGAAAATTTAATCGAATGGATTCCTTTTAACAGTTTAGATAACATTCAAAAGTTTGGTGATATATTTTTAGCAACCTGTTTAGACGAAATACGTTGTATAAATCACAATATAGAATTTTTTCTTTTAGTAAGTTAAGCTTAAATATATAAATATTTTTTGGGTTTAGTTTTGGGATTATGAAATTATAGTCTAACCTAGTACATTTTGCTCTTTATATATACAGTCACCATTATATAAAGTGGAGCTTAAAATATTAACTAGGTCGAAAAATATAACAGATATGTTAAAAGAAGTAAGTTAAAATATTTAACTTATTATTGCACCATACTACTATATAGCTTTATTTTAATTTATATATATATATTTATAAGCTTATGAATTATGTACAGTCAAAGAATAGTAAAGTGTACGGATTGACTCAAAATACAACCACAAATGAATATATGTTAGTATTTGATAAATTTTATTCTAAAACAGGTATAGAGAATGGGACATGTAGAAATTGCAACCGATATAACACTTCTAAAGCTTGGTGTCAGACATGTGACATTTACAAAATTACACAGGAATGGCAAGAATGGACAAGTGGAAATAAGGATGTCGACAATTGTATTAAAGGACTTCAATTTAAAGTTACAAAATACGAAGATGTAATCGAATGGATTCCTTTTAATAGATTAAATATTATCAAAAAGAATGACGATAGACTGTTGGCAACCTGGTTAGATGGAATACGTTATGCAGAAAATAATATAATTCAGTCACGTATGTCATCATCTATAGTGGATCTTAAAGTATTAACTAGATCACAAAATTTATCCGATATGTTAAAAGAAGTAAGTTAAATAAAAGATTATTGTGCTATAAAATTTATTGTAATTCATATATATTTATTATAATTTATATATATCTATATCTATTGTATTTATAATGTTTAATAAGTTTACGGATTATGCATTGTTAAAAAATAGTGATTTAAAAGTGTATGGAATAACTCAACATACAACCACAAACGAATATATGCTAGTATTTGATGAATTCTATTGTAAAAGAAAAGAATGTTATGAAAAATGTGCAATTTGCAACCGATACAACACATTTTACGCTTGGTGCCAGACGTGTGACCCTCAGAAAATAACGCAAGGATGGACAAGTGGAAATAAGGACGTCGATGATTGTATTAAGAAATTTCAACTTAAAGTTACAAATTATGAAGATGTAATTGAATGGATTCCTTTTACTAAATTAGATAACATTCAAATGATTGGTGATAAATTTTCAGCAGCCTGGTTAGATGGGATACGAAAAATAGTCCTATTTAAATACGTTAAGGATGATGAATGTAAATATATCCATATACCGTTACGTACACCGCCATGTACAATTACTCTTAAAACAATAGCTAGTTCACAAAATTTATTACAAGAAGTTTGTATTATTTCATTTGTAGTTTTTGTTTTTTTTTCTTAAAATTAATATATAAATTTTAATAATATATTCATATAATTTAAAAGTTTAAAAACCATATGCAATTAGAGAGTATAAATGTTTATGGACTAACTCAAGATCCGACAACAAATGAGTATATATTGGTATTTGATGAATTTAGCTCTAAAAGGAATGATGAATATGGAATATGCACAAATTGCATTCGATATAATACATTTAAAGCTTGGTGCCAGGCATGTGACCCTCAGAAAGCAACACAAGGATGGACAAGTGGAAATAAAGATGTCGATGATTGTATTAAAGAATTTCAACTTAAAGCTACAGAATATGAGAATGTAATCGAATGGATTCCTTTTAATAAATTAGATAATATTCAAAATATTGATGATAAAATTTTAGCAACCTGGTTAGATGGAATACGATCTCTAAATTATGAATACGATAAAATTAAATATACATACACAATCACGTATACCATTATATAGGGTGGAGCTTAAAACATTCGGTAGATCACTAAATTTATCAGATACGCTGAAAGAAGTAAGATAAATGTTTAAAATATTATTATATCATTCAACTGTATGTATCCTTTATTTTTAATTAATATATTTATAACATTTACTAATTATTATTGCTCGATCCGCTGACTTTATACAAAAAACTGAATGACTTTATTTACAAAATCTGAAGAACATATGGGATAAGGGCTCGCTACCCTTATTGGCTCTAATATACATAATTACATTTTCCATCATAGCGACATGTATTCATCACACAACAAACGCAAAAGGGACACCCATAGTGTCCTGTCTGCCCCACAGGTACAGAGATGATCCGGAACCATTCACGGATCAGCATACCTTCACCCATAGGGAATCATTGAGTCTTCTCATAGCTGAAAAGAGAATCGGTAACTCTGTTTTTGCCGAAAAAATCGAGGTTCATTCTTATGGTCCCTGCATTGCCACTTGCAGCCGTGGAGTCACTACAACAACTGGTCCTTGCACTGCCACTTGCAGCCATGGAGCCAAATACAACAATTGGTCCTTGCACTGCCCCTCGCAGCCGTGGATCCAAAACTACCTCTGGTCCTTGCACTGCCACTTGCAGCCGTAGAGCCAGGTACACTACAGGTCCTTGCACTGCTAATGCAGCCGTGGAGCCTGATACAACAAAAGAAACAACACTGCTTACTTGATTTCGGGTGGGTAAGGGAGGGAGATAGAGCCAGCCTTTACAAGGCGAGCGATAGCGAAAAGAAAGATAACCTTCTCTACTGAATTTCTTGTCCTTAAATACTCCTCCCATATCACTGGTTCATACTCGGCCACAGTCATTATCCCTTACCCCCACTATCGATCTAACAATAATCATAACCATGTGAATATCAAAATCATATGCAATCTAAAATTACCTGTAAAAACAAGTTACAAAATCTCACGACAATAATCAAAGAATAACCATAAAAGGATACATAACAAAAACCTGTACGTGATCGGTCATAAAGTCATCTGATCTCGCAATAATGATCGCCCTGTCACTTCGTTGACAGGCTTTTCATTATTATTGCTCGATCCGCTGACTTTATACAAAAAACTGAATGACTTTATTTACAAAATCTGAAGAACATATGGGATAGAAGAGGATCGCTAGCTAGAAAACCCCATCTTTTTAGAAAACTGCAACTTTGCTGTTCCAACAGACCTCAAATATAGCATAACTGCTTTACTGTCCCAACCTCCTATAGCCCGTATTTGCGTCAATGACAAACCTGCTTCCATTGCGGCTGTTGCACCACCAATCCTAATGCTATGAGCTGTAAATCTACCCTTCGCTCCTGCATTACTTGCTATTCTTTTGACAATAGAACCAACGGCCCCAACTGTCAATTGTTTTCCCTGCTTTGACAAAAAAAGAGGCTCATTCTCTGTAGTTTTTGGCCTTATTAACAAATATTTTTTCAACAACCTAACTGGGCAGTAGCGGCTATTCGTATGTTCTATAGGAATGAACTTTCCATTGGCAAATTGATCCGTTTTAGAGGAGCTTATGCGTACCCAACATAATTTGTCTCCGAATTTAATATCCTTAAGTTTCAATTTACACAATTCACCTGGACGACGCATGGTTCTCAAACCAATAGCTACCAAAGCGGCATCGCGTATCCAATAATCCCTATTTATAAAATGTGGCTTCTTGTCAATGAACTGCTTTAAGGCAGAGACTGTTAGAGGGTCACGGGGCCATCTTGGTTCTTTATCTTTCTTATATTCCTTTACTAACGCTTTACATATTCTTTTAACTCTATAATCCTTAGATGGGTCCGTAAACTGATGTTCTAAGTGCTCTCTTGATACTGCTGCTAGGAAGTCCACATACCCTGAAAAGGAATGTACCAGGTCCAGCCAAACAAGAAAAGATAAAAGTGTATCGGTCTCTGATGGCAAAGCTACTAAGCTCATCACCTCACAATAGTCCTTATATATATCCCATGCTTTATCCAAACGTCGATTCCAATCATTCGAAACTGATTTCCTACTCAAAGCCTGCGCTCTTACAAGCAACTTACTGACTAATCCACTCTTACTGCCAGGAACTGCCAATTCAGGTTCTTCCAAGGCTCTACCTTCTCGGAAAACCCTCTTTCGAATGATATTTGGGCTGGGGGCAGAACTACATAACTTGTCTGAACATGCATTAGCAACGGCCACCATGCTGCTGAAACCCACCTGGGCACGATTATTGTTGCCACTGCTTTCTCCTCTATTACGTGTTGTAGAACCCGGTGAACTAGTGCTATAGGTGGGCACACGTAATTGTTTTCCTTCGACCAGTCCTGGGTAAAGCAGTTTACTCCCTCTGTGTTTGGACAATAAAATTTGCTGTTGAAACGAGCTAGTTTGTTGTTTTGGTGATTTGCCATACGGTCTACTGTATGGGGTCCCCATTTTTCCTCTATATAGTTGAATATTGTTTGGCTCAAGCACCAGTCGTCTTCGTCTACAACTCTGGTCAATTCGTCTGCTGGATTCATTTCTGAAGGTATCCAAAAAACTTCGTTTATCCAAATATCCCACCTGTCTATTAAAATCCACAATCTTCTTAGTAAGTCCTTCTGCCACGGAAGTTTGCCTCCTCTCAAGACCGTCCCAATAGCACCTCGATTGTCTATATGCAGGTCTATCCATGAACCCTGTATTAGTTTCGCAAAGGAGTCCAAACCCAAAATTACTGCTTCTGCTTCCAGTCTTGTAATTTCCCTGTGGGACTTGGTTGAACTCCAATTTCCGAAGGCTTTGCGGTCTCCAAAAACGGCTGACCATCCTACTGTGGATGCATCGACGAAAACCCGCTTTACTCTTGATGGCTTCCAAGCTGGACAACCGTTTCTTTTTTCCAAATTCTTGGCTACCCACTTTGCATCTTCCCGTGCTTGTTCTGATAGCTTTATCCATGCATCCCACTGCCATGGACTCCTGTTTGCTGCATCTATTAACGAATAAAATTCCAGGCAACGAACCTTTGCATGTGCAAATGCCCTGTTCAATGACTGAATTTTTCCCGCTACTGATGCCAACTTGCGAGCTGATATCTTCTCTTTTCCTACTAATTCTAGCATTAACTGTCTTACCTCTATAATTTTGCCTTCTGGAACAATTACTTGTGCCTTTACTGTGTCGATTATTAGGCCAAAAAACTTTACCCGTTGGGATGGAATCCATTGACCCTTTGACATTTCCCTTACTAACCCACATTTCTCCAGCTCCACCTTTATTACCGTATCTCTTATTGTGACCAGGGTATCTAGAGAAGGATGTGCCAACCAAAAGTCGTCCAAGTAATTTCCACAAAACAAACCTAGTGACCTCCAACGACCTATTATAGCCCGCATAATCTTGGAGAAAATCCATACCGCTTGCGAAAGACCAAAGGGAAGAACTTTGTAATAGTACCAATTCCCCAGTATTCGGAATCCCAGAAAACGCTGCGCATTCTTTCTCATCATCACGTGGTGATAGCCATCCTTCAGGTCCCATGTGATTACATACCATCCTTTCCCTATTGTACGAAGTAGGCCACCCAAACCTTCGAAACGTATACTCTTTTCGGGAAGGATTGTGTTTAAGCGCCTTAAGTCTATAACCATCCGCCACTTCTTTGGCCCTTTCTTGGGCACCAAGAAAACTGGGCTTACTTCTAACAAAAATTTTGGTCTCGTCACCTGACTCCCCAGACAACCTATTGCTTCCGATTTCATTAGTCGATCCAGTTCTTTTCTTACCCATTCCTGTTGCTCTACTGATAAACTGTACTGATTCGGAACAGGCTTTGCTGCTAACACTAACACGCCCCTTGGGTATATTGGAACTCCATTTCTCAACCAATCCATAACCACTGGTGACGGACTTACCCTGTGCTGCCAAAAATCCAAAACATCTGCTGCCTGCATTCTCCCTACCACTGATATCTGACCTTCTGACGTATCCTTCACGACAATTCCAGCCCGAGTGTAGTCAATCCTGGCTTTTAGGCTTGCTAGAGGTCCTTGGGTTTGAGGAGGGGCAATTTGAGACGATGTGCCCAATACCTCCGCAGTTGTAGCAGGTAATATTTCCCTGTCTGTCGAAGGATCCATAAAAATTCCTACCCCGAAAGGACGGCGCTCTTTCCTCTTTTTTCTTACTTCGCTTATAGTATTCCCTTTCAGAGTCAGACGAAGAAGGGGACGCTCTCTTCCTCTTGTACTGATACTTACGAAATTTACTATTATAACCCCTGGCATATGGACGCGAATGATACACTGCCTGGCCAATTACAGGTATGCGATCTTTGTACTTTTCCATCATCTTATCACTACTTCCAACTATTTGTAGCGCAGCTCCCCATCCCCTATCATCTGCTAATCTCAATGTAACGGCCCTTGATTCAACCTCATCACGCACACTAACAACTTCTTTCTTAACAGAATCTGGTAACATTCTTATTACCTTATCTAAACGCCTACCAATCTTTGCCAGAAAATCATACTCATACTGGTCACGTGGTTTAGACAATTTTACCTTTGGCCAAGCCTCCTCCAACGAATCACCTTCTTCGATCTCCCTATACAAGGCCGAAAAACTCTTATCCATCTTCCTTTCAATACTACTAAGAGCTGTCAGGAAAACATCCACCGGAACCGAACTAACTTTTTCTTTCCCTCGAAAACGTGTTGCAAATTCCTCTCTAATCCTATTATCAGCTTCCTGCGAGTCTTCATCCAGCTCATCCTCACCACCCCCGTCATCATCCGAATCCACATCCACTACCTCTCCTGTCCTATCTCCAGTAACCGCGGGACCTTGTTCCTGCCCTTTACTGCTCCCTTTCGACTGCGCCTCTGGACCTTTATCTTTCCTTTTATCAAAATAAGCGTGCAGTCTTTCACCTAGCTCTTCCTTATTACCTTCCACTGAGAAGCCACAAGCTGCACACAGGTCCTTCAACTCCGTCAAGGTGAGCTTCGTCCAACTACCGGCATGCATCGTGCGATTAGTAGACATACTCAAAGTTATGTACGAAAATACTACTTGATTTACACAGTTTTCTAACGTATTAAAGTTTGTTGTCTGGGTTTCTTTTTTTTTTTTTTTTTTTTTTAAAACAAATTGAATTTTATGTGATGGAAAACGATAGAGCCAGCCTTTACAAGGCGAGCGATAGCGAAAAGAAAGATAACCTTCTCTACTGAATTTCTTGTCCTTAAATACTCCTCCCATATCACTGGTTCATACTCGGCCACAGTCATTATCCCTTACCCCCACTATCGATCTAACAATAATCATAACCATGTGAATATCAAAATCATATGCAATCTAAAATTACCTGTAAAAACAAGTTACAAAATCTCACGACAATAATCAAAGAATAACCATAAAAGGATACATAACAAAAACCTGTACGTGATCGGTCATAAAGTCATCTGATCTCGCAATAATGATCGCCCTGTCACTTCGTTGACAGGCTTTTCAGTTTGTAGATTATATACAGTTAAATAATTGTGAGGCTAAAGTATACGGACTAACTAAAGACACTGCAAATAATGAGTATATGATGGTATTTGATGAATTTAATTCTAAAAGAAATAGGCGGAATGGAAATTGCGCAAATTGCGATCGATATAACACATCTAAAGCTTGGTGTCAAACCTGCGACCCTCAGAAGACAATACAAGGATGGACAAGTGGAAATAAGGATATCTATGATTGTATTAAAAAACTTCGACTTAAAGCTGCAAAATACGAAGATGTAATTGAATGGATTCCTTTTAACAAATTAGATAATATTCAAAAGATTGATGAAGGATTTTTAGCAACCTGGCTAGATGGAATACGATGCGTAAATTCTGTTGGATATTTTGAACATACACAGTCACGTATACCTACATGTAAAGTGAATCTTAAAACACTGGCTAGACCACCAAATTTATTGGATATGTTAAAAGAAGTAAGTTAAAATACTTAAATATTATTGTACTATACTACTTATATCAATACGTATTGTTAGTTCTAATATACATTTATAATTATAAGTTTACAGATTATGCACAATTAGAGGATAAAGAATTTAAAGAATTTAAAGTATATGGGTTGACTCATAACGCTATAAAAAATGAATATATGTTAGTATTCGATGAATTTGGTTCTAAAAGAGATAAAAATAACGGAAAATGTGTAAATTGTAACCGATATTGTACTTCTAAAGCTTGGTGTCAGACGTGTGACCCACAAAAAATAACGCAAGGAAGGGCAAGTGGAATTAAGGTTGTTGATGATTGTATTAAAGAATTTCAGCTTAAGGCTATAGGATATGAAAATGTAATCGAATGGATTCCTTTTAATAGATTGGAGAATGTTCAAAAGATTGATGATATATTTTTAGCAACCTGGCTAGATGGAATACGATACATAGATAAATATGAAAATAACTGTGAAGGCGAATATGAGTATATACAATCACGTACACCACCATGCGTAATTACACTTAAAATATTGACCAGTTCACCAAATTTATTAAATATTTTGAAAGAAGTAAGATTATCTGATTTTATTTGTGTATTTTATTAATCAATAGCATATATGCATATATAAATATATTTATAAATTTTATATATTTTATAAGTTTAAAACTCATATGCAATTAGAAGATGAAAATATTTACGGATTAACTCAAAATACAGATACAAATGAATATATGCTGGTATTTGATGAATTTAGTTCTAAAAGAGATATTAAAAATGGACGATGTGCAAGTTGCAACCGGTACAACACATTTTACGCTTGGTGTCAGGCGTGTGATCCTCAGAAAACAACACAAGGATGGACAAGTGGATATAAGGAAATTGATAATTGTATTAAAGAATTTCAACTTAAAGCTACAAAGAACGGAGATATAATCGAATGGATTCCTTTTAATAAATTATATAATATTCAAAAGATTGGTGATTTATTTTCAGCAATCTGGTTAGATGGAATACGATCTATAAACGAAGACGATCATGGTGGATGTACACAGTCACGTATACCGTCATATAGAGTGGAGCTTAAAACATTAACCAGATCACAAAATTTATTAGAAATGTTAAATAAAGTAAGTTAAAATATTTAAATTACATGATTATTGTACTGTACTGCATATATAACTAACATTATTTTAATTCGCATCGATATATTAATAAATATTTAATAAGTTTATAGATTGTGTTCAGTTAAATAGCTTTAAAGCATATGGGCTG